GCTCTTTTTTTTTTTTTTTTTTTTTTTCCCCACAATCTTTCAGGGACATGCTTCCAATTCTTCCGTTCCCTCTACCTGGGGATTTCAAAATACAGTCTAAAAATACTAAGAGAGATGAGGGACACAGGAGGAGAAAGAATACACAGATGCAATGACTTCCATAACTCCAGCTTGCAAGTCTATAAAGAATGGTCCTACTTGGTCAGAACAATGGCTCACCTGGCACCACGTTCTGTCTCTGACGGTGGCATAAAAAAAGCTCATCAGTGAAGTCATTACCTGCAGTCCCTTTCCCAAGACTTTTTGTAATATCCTGTTACCAACGACACACCATCAATCCTGCACTTCACCTCCACGTTCCTCCAGCACACTCAGGTGAATGCCACCTGCTGACAGCAGCGTATTATCTAACTTATCAATTCGGTCTCTTATTTTCTGCGTTCTTAGCCAAACTCATTTAGCCCATCTGATCCATCTCCTGGAAACTACAGGTTCAGTGGGGAATCTCTTCAATAACTTCACTGAGCTTCCCAGCTGTGGGCTATCCATTTCACACCTTTGCCATTAGGTTCACACTCCTTAACTTCTCTGTTGGGCCACGGGAGTCACCGGACCACTCTGGTTTCTCCAAGTTGCAGCACAAGGTATCCTTTGGGTTCCAACAGAGTGCTTTTATCTACCAGCAGGTTGCAAGTAGGCTTCTTTTTTTGACTGCCATTTTAATGTGAAAGTAAATTACGTAGATACATGACAGTCTTGGTATTGAATATCTTTGTGCTGAATTTATTTAATTTGCTCTCTCCTGCTAAAATCTTCATCTTAATTGTATTATGACTGCTATTACAGACCGGCTCTCCCACAAATACCTCTTGAACTAGGTCTTGTGCAAAAACTGAAACCAAATCAAGACCAGCACCTGTTCTTGTGGGTTTTTAAAGATTAGTTGTTCTAGGAAGCAGTCATTTAATGCATCCAAAAACTCTTTCCAAATCCCAGTTCAATGAGGCATTTCTTCAGTCTACATGTGAGTAGCTGAGATCTATCTGTCCTAATTTTGCAGATTCTCTAATTCCACTTAACACAATGTTTCATCCTTTGGACCACAACACATTGACAGCTACTGTGAATGGCAGTCATTTTGAAACATGGAGACTGTTCTTACCAGAAGCTATTTTCAGAAGAATGTTTAGTCCTAAGGAAACCAATCAAGCAGGTCTTTGTGAGAGTCATCTGCAGTACAAAGTACAAACCTATTTCCAACTCTAGTGATAATACAAGGTATGCAGCACGGTTTTTTTGTTCTACAGTGTTTTGAAACCTCTATCACAAATCAGTTCCAGACTACAGGGCTGAAATTTTCCCAACATGTATGTGACTTCATCTCTGTCAATTGGACATCATCTACCTGTTGTTCATGGTATGTTCCTGGGCTTTGGTTTTAGCAACAGCCGATATTTTAGCATACCTTTGTTGAAACGAGACATACTGCTGCTGTGCAGCTACTGAGCCATTAGATCATCTCCATGATCTCAGTGTTCAAGTTGGTAGAACAAAGATTAAACAGTCCAGGAAATGAAATGGAAGAAATTCTCAGAGATGGTAGGTCTAAAGAGGCCAGAGACCCAGAAATGTGCAATATTAAGACTGCACGAAACACAGACACTACACAACAATAACACTTTGGACACAAGTAGGTCTTCTGTTATTTTTTTACTAGATTTATGGCTACATATATTTAGACCATGAAAACCTATAGGCAGGTTATGGAGCCTGTTTGGTAAACTAAAGTGTAATTCCACATCAACAGATGGCCATGTCCACCTGCTGCACCAGTTCGCCATCCAGCCTGAAGAAAAGCCTGGAAAAGCTGGGGTGAAGCATCCCATGAGCAGCTGATAGCCTCCTTTGGCCTCCCTCCTTTTCAACCCTGACAAGAATGTTAGAAACAGACATGTTTACCCTAACTTTAAGGAAATGGGATTACTACTGACATTCACTTATGTCTCCTACTAGGAACACTATTTGGTACTGAACAATTTTGATGTTGCTAAAAAACCACAACCACAAAGCCTGAGATTTGACATTTCCTTTCACCTTTCTTGAGCTGGTAATTTTAGAAAAGGGCAAGTCTCTTTTCTTCCAAATGCCAAACAAATTTCATGGAAGAGTGTATAGAGGCAGGAGAGTAAAAGGAACTGCTGAAAAGGTAACTAAAGCAGGGGCTTAAGCCTTCCTACAAACAAGCCTTGAAGAAGGGAGTCACATACCTTCAGATACATTGTAAGCACCTGACGGTTATTTGGGTGCCTGGGGAAAGCTGCCCTCTGCATACTAAGGCTTTCCTCTTTTGGCCTATCCAGGTCTCCTTTTAAAGACCTTAACTCAGATGAAAGGGATGCCAGCCACTCCACTCTGCTCTTCTTCTGTAGTCAAGTGTTGAGCAGCCAATGAATCAAGAAGGTGATTCAGCACAAACACAAGCTGAACACCACAGGAGCCGGACTGGCTCTCATCAAAGTGCCAAGAGCCACAGGGGTAAGATTAATGGAAAAGTGCTAACTAAGAAATACCTTCCTGCAGGAATGTCTTTTGTCCCAGTGCCTGTCACACTAGCAGAGAGAGACATACAATGATCACGTTCTCATTTATTCTTGAACAGTAAACATAAGGATTCAATAAAAAGAAAGATATGCAATGCTACACAATGGAGAACAGCAAAGAGCAGGGTATTACCCTTGCTTTCCAAATTCCAAAGGGCACTAAAGCTTTTTCTGGTTTGTTCTCATAGAGTTTGTATTTGCATACAGCATTTTTATTCCCTGAGATATATAATTTCCCTGTCTTGTCGTATAGCACAGTATTTACTTCCACACTAGAAGACAAGCCAGCCACCTGAGTTACCAGAGTACTCTACAAAGGCCAAGAATTTGTTCACATAATCTACCACAATTACACATCAGAGTATTCTATCTCCCGTGGCTGTATCTGGCAGCCTATTCTTCCCAACAAATAGGAATAGGTGCAAAACCTATTGATGAAAGCAGCCATGTAATCACTATCTAACAGACCTACAGAAGAAAGTAGTTATACAAGCATTTTATTTACTGTATGCAGCTGAAACCATTACATGGAGGAAAAGAAGCTATTGTTTGGTGCTTAGCTCATTTAACTTAAAACCAAGCAGTGTTATTTCTACACATTTGAGATCGGATACAGATATTCTTCATAAAGACTAGCCATATTTTGGGTTAAGATTTTCTACACAGAAACATAAACTTCTATCTTACACAATTCACTATTGTTTCATAGCTATTTTGCTATTGCCTACTATTTACACTCCAGACAATGGAGTCAGTTCTGTCCTTTAATTTCCTTGGAAAAAAAAAAATATATAAAGATGCAGATGAATACCAGAAGGAAAAATTTTCCATTTGTATTGGAAATACATTTGCCTGTTCTGTCCCTTAGTGAGAATGCATTTTGGACACTATACACTATAGAAATATTCTCCATTTATGAATTCTTTTTAGAACTCTGCTGTAAGCAGCCCAACATGGTACATCTCCAAAGTTTATTTGTGCCTTACTAGACTCCAGGAAGCTCTGCTGAGGGTCATGCAAAGGCAAAAATCAAACTCTTGCTTGGTTTGTTTTGGGGGGTTTTTGTTTTGGTGTTCCCCCCTAAAAATATAATTTCAGTTCTAATAACAAATCAGTACCTTTTTGCAGCAGATGAAAGAGTTTCTTTTCTGGCAACAGAAACAGAGGAACTGTGGCTTGTTTTCCTGCTTCCTGTACTCCCGTTAGTTATACAGGACATCGAGATAGCTTCTCGGAGGCTTGGCTGACCTAGAAAAAAAAATATTGAAGAACACAAGGTTTTACAGCTGTATCCAAAGATCCATCTGAAAAACATCTGAAAAAGCTCTCAGATGTGGAACTAGTATCACACGGCAGCAGCCCCAGCATTCACGACAACTACCTAGCCTATATCCAGTGGCATACGTTCATGAAAGCCTTGACCTAGGCAGCTGGAGACAGGAGACCTGTGACACTAAGGCAAGAATATGCTCTGATAGGGGTCAGCTTCTTTACTACCACACTGCCAGCAAATACTTTAGTTCAGCAACATGCCACATCTCTTTCCAGTTGTGATCCACAAGGAACATTACAGATTATGGCTAGCCTTGGGAAGCTGGTAGCTCCAACAGCTGTGAGACAGCAGATCTGATTATTTCAACTCTCTTGTTCAAAACCATCACAGCTCGGATAATACCACATGAGGTTTGTTGCTTTCAATTTTTTTTTCCCCCCTTAAAGTTCAAAGAAGATGCAGACAGAAGCTCTCTCTATACTGAAATAATTAAGTTATTTAAGGGTTGTGATTATAAGGATTCAAAAATCAAGTGGTTTAGCTTGTTTTCAGCTGTCCCTTCCATCTTAAAAAGGTGTCGACCTTTGAGTATGTGCCCTATGGTATAGTTATTAAGTTTCTGATATAGTTTACTTCGTAGAACATCTGCCACATCCAGTGAACATTACAGACTCCCTCTGGGGATGAATCATGACTGTATATGTGAAGAAGGCTGTTGTCTGTCAGATGCCCACTTCACTCATTGCAGAAGGTTGAAACTATGCAGCGAATGTGGGAGGGGACTGCAAGGAAGACGGAGGGAGCGAAGGCTCTTCTATTTAAAGAGCTGAACGCTAGCCTGGCAATCAGCTCCCAGACCTGCCTCTGCCACAGACTGTCAGTGACATACAAAGATTTTTACTTGAACCCAACACTTCACACTTCCCCACTAATTGCGCGTCTTTCCTTTTTATGTGTGCCTGTCTTACTTCTAAGGTCTTATTCAGAAAAGAGTTTTGCCCCCTCCTTTCCCTGAGTGCTAAACTTGTGGTTTTCCCCTCTGAAGCATTACATGCCCTGAAAAGATCCCTGGGCTAACCTTACATTAAGCATCCAAAAATCAGTGGTCACTTTTTACCCCACCTCCGTGCCACAATCCCCATTCACAAACAGCAAGCTGTTACTGCATCTCATGGGGTTGTGATGTCCAGGCACTCTGACTTCAACAACAAGCATGAAGGACACGATTGACAGGAAAATAACAGGTCTGTGTTTGTGGCGGGCTTGGAATAGTGCGAGATAGATAAGGCATGAGGCCACACATTGAAGATAAAAGTGAGGAGTAAAAAAGCAGTCAGGAAGAATCGACTGCTCTGCACAGAGGGCAAACTCGCACAGATGCGTCATTTGAACAAGACCAACATTTGGTCCATTTGTCAGATCGCAGCTCTAACAGGCAGGCTGAGAGGCAAATTAATTCTTATTTTAAACAAGCAGTTTACATACAAGAGATACCCATCAAGGGAATATTAGATTTCAGAACTATTTGGATGAAGGCAGAAATGGGCTGACCTGCGCTAACCATATACCGCTTCAAACGTACCGAGCAGCATGTGACCACATCTGAAATTCAGATCAGGAAAGCCAAAATATCCCAGGCAGAAATGAGAATAAAGGAAATCTGAAGAAAGTAAAAGCACACTTAAATACAGAAACACTGCAAAGATCATTGTTGTTCTTCCTAAATTCTACATAAATCAACTTAGCGTGATTCCTTCCAACTGGTACTTCTTAGAGACCATTTTATTTGCAACATACACATTTGGAATACAGATTTTATTTTAAAAGTTAATATACCAGACAAAGCCTCTAAAGCCCGAGAGATTTTTACCCCCCTGTGTAGCTTAGATGCAAAAAAAAAAAAAAAAAGCACATGAGCTTAAAAAGCACTCTTAGTATTAGAAGCCTATAAATTAGCTTCTTTTATTTTCAGTGACAAAGTAAATCATCTTCTTTGTGGAGATGCATAATATCAAGGCCTATGATTCACTCTTGAACTGCACATGACCTTAACGTCTCCGTCTGCTCATCGTAATAGATCAGTGCCTCTCCAACCAGCACTAGCGCGGCTTTCCAGAAACGTGAACCAGGACACATAATAGCGGTAATTCTCAGTACAGTGGGGAAAGCATTCAGTGGAAAGTGTAAAGAACAGCAGTACTACAGACAGGGTGCAGGAACTTAATAAGACAGGGGGAAAAAAAATTGCTCCGCTTTCTCAGGCAAGGAGCACATCGCTATTTTGTTCACTGATGGTATCTAGAAGAATTCCCTGTACGAAATACAAAAAGAATAGTTCCTGCTTACATCCAAGGACAAAGCTGATGACAAGTAAAACTGTACATCAGTATACACTCATGGCAGGAATGTGCTCTGCTCCATGCAATGATGAATGCAACAATAATAATAAACAAAAGAATCCATACAGCAGTTTGGGGGTTATTTGGTTTTCAGTAAAGTGGATGTTGACAGTAGATCTGCAGAGTACTTCCTAATTTCAACAAGCGGCATGCAAAGTTAAGCTTGAGATGAAGATTTTTGAATCAAAGTAAAAACAATTTTTGTAAAATGACTAACAATAGCGCATTCATTTCTTGAAAAAGTGACTGAAACATTTGGGCACAGACCAAAACATCAAGGACTAGGAAAAACTGCATTGACAGATTTTTTCAAGTGTCAAAAACGTATCAGGCTTTCTTACACTCCGGAATAAAATCTTGGTCAGTCACAGTTGAGTGTGCCACACTCAGCGTGCAATAAAATGTAAAAACCAAGAAAAACAATTAAAAAAAACCAACCAACCAAACCCCAAACCCAACACTCCTAAGAAACAAGTCTCTTTCCAGGCTCTCTATATACTCCATTTTAACAAGATATTCAAAAGTGTCCTTTAGAATACTAGTTTTTAAAGGGGAAAAAAAAAATAATTAAAAATTCAATTCACCTGCAATTGTACGTTAAAAAAATGCATTTAAATTTTAAGCCATGAGAAGGAAGAGAAAGTTTAAGCCCTGTGTACATCCCAGGCAGCGGAGCAGTGAAGCCTGGCTGCCCACAGGGTCAGAGACACACAACCAGAATCTTCCCAGCTGGGTCAGAAGCCCAGGGAAGCTGACACAGGGGTCCCAAACCAAGCAGCTCCCTTCAAGACTTTTAACCAGGACATCTCTACAGTCAGGAGATGTCAAAAATTAACAACGGTATAACCTTCTTCACTGCAGAGATAGTCCTTCATAGCAGTCAAGCAACTTTGCCTCAGAGACCTGGGAAATAACAAAGCGGCATGGGAAAACACAAATTCCAGATCAATAGACTAAAACAACTGAGTTGTCCCAGCACTCGGATTGCACATCTCTGCCAATATCGTGTCATACGTCACCTGCTAGCGTAAACAGTCTGAAATTTTTCAGACTGAATAGCACTCAGCTTTATCTGTTAGTTTGGAACAAAAGCCAGACATAAACTGAACATAAAATGAAAGCCAGTGTATGGTGACCAGGATTAAAGCAAATTGTCAGAGATCAAAGTGGTAAAAAAATGTCTTTTATGGATAATGGATTCATCTCTGTTCTGTTAATTTTCATAGAATAGTATCTGTTGAGTTCAAACGAAACATTTCATTAACATCTGTCAAGTATACAAGTGTGTGAATGAAAGATAAGTAGGATTAGAAAAAACAGACCACAATAAACCAAGAATCTATTTCCAACTCCTTATCAGCCTTGATTAGCTAACTGGGGAAAAACTGAAGCCAAGCTGTAAGAGACAGTGTTAAGTTTTGAAAATGTGTATCCTCTGATAACATGATAGCTTTTCTTTCCAAACATACATACAAGGTACTAGAGCTGAAGATCAGCTAGCAATTCACTACTTTTTCCCAAACCCAAAAGTTACAGGGTTTTATGTTAAAATATAGTTTATTATGTTATTACGTGTGTTAACCAGAACAATGATTTGCTTAATGTCTTTGTATTTGCTGATATCCTGACAAGTAAACTGCCTTTCCTCCAATGAAAAACCAAACCTGTCTTTCCCTTCTTCAGGTAATTTCAATATAAAGTAAGTAGCTACAGCTACATTAAAATAAAATAACTTCTCCGGATAGTTCATTCAAGTGGATTTAAAACAAAAAGTTCAATAAATTATGTGTTTAAAAAATGATTTACTCATGCTGTTTTTCTTTAAGCTTTCTTTCCCCTCTCCCCCTCCCCAATAAGGCGTACAATATCCAAGTCCTTTAAAAATTTTAGAATACTTTATTCTCAGCAAAACTTGACAAAGATTTCTATATTTCAAATGTATTAGATACCTAGGGGGGGTTGTGCAAATAAAACTGATAGCTTGAAGGACAGAAACCCAGTTTAGTATTCTCACTAAAGAAGCGTACAGTGTGTGTTCAACCACACTATTAGTCACCAGAGAACCCACACAGGTGAGCCGCAGAAAAACAGACTGAAATAGTTCTAAGCGTAGCAGAACATAAGATTTTATCTGCACTTCCTTCCTAAAATAAAGACATCAAAAATGAACTAGAAATTATAACAAATCTTAAACTTACTTCAAGATGTTATAATAAATTGTACCAAAGCCATTTCAAAGGATGTCAAGTCCCTCAGCTCATGGAAGATGCTGTCAAAGAAATAGCTTGGGAGCACTAAAACTCCTTCCAAAGAAGAAAATTTTCTTCAGCATTTTGTTTTATTCAGCTACTTCACTTACGTAGTAAGAGTCAAATTCTGACTGAGACTTCTTAAGTAGAAAAAACGTTCTCTTCATCTGTCACATGAATAAACGTTACAGGTCAGGGTGAGATACTAGTACTCAAAGAATGACCAACATTAATCAGGAAAAAATAATTCGGTGCACTACCTGTGTGTTATATTGTTTAATAACCCAATTCTAAGACAAAATTAAGTTTTAACGAACTTTATTATTC